TTCGAGTAATGCCTTATTTAATCATTATTTAGCTTGCTTTTTAAGTATAGGCTATTGAAAATGTTGTATTGTGTATGTTTTTTGTTGTGTAACTGTCGTGAAACGTACAAAATTTATTAAAAAAATATCTTAAATCAGAAATGCAGCGGGCCGCGCGATGTCGCTGCGACGTACTTAGGTATTGCTTATATGAATGAGAGTCGCGTTCCTAATACATATTATGCAAGTAGCAGAGATTTCCTTAGTTCATTCACAGGTCTAAGTCATTTAAGTGTGGGAGAGCCAAGCTTCGGCACGACCGGAGTAATACCACGGCCTCACAGAATACCGGTGTGAAACAACCACAGCGTTGTGTTTCGCCGTGTGAGTGAGGTTACCGGATTCGGAGGCCCAATCCTTACTCTTCCCCTATCCCTTAACAATCCTTATATCCGCAACCCCTATCCCCAAAAGGCCGGCAACGCACTCGTAACTCCTTTGGTGTTGCGGGTGTCCATGGACGACGCCGATTACTTACCATCAGGTAATCCGTCAGCTCGTTATCCGACTTATCCCATAAAAAAATATACATACATATATGTATATCTCTCGTAAAAGATCTAGCAATTTTTACTAAATTATTACGTAGTTTATTAAGTATGTTTTTATAATAACTATCGTGAGACATACTAAATTAACTAAAATTCGCGGGTTACTCACGTGTAAATGTTGAGAAAAGCTCTACTAGTTTCGAACCACAGAGGGGTTCTTCCTCATGAGCAGCGTGCGCGGACGCGCGACGTCGCCGCGTCCGCGCACGCTATTATTAAGTAGTTACATAGTTTAAACTTATCTGTCTGGCTTTTGGTTGTTATAATTAAATAAAGACAAGACAAAGCGTTTTTCTTTTTTCAAAACGTCCCCGCTGACAAACTATAGCTTGAACCGCTTTTAAAGCATAAAGCAGTTTATAATACCCTCTCGTACCTCACTGAAACGTTCTTTTAGCAAGCAAAAGGCTTCTGTAGGCTGTAATGAATAGAATTCAGAGGCTAATGATGAAGCAAATTAATGTTGTGTGGTGTATGCCTTTTGTATGGTTGAAAGCCTTCTAAATTATGCGGTGGGAAGGTTCTTAGGCGGTTGTCTTTTTTGTAGTGATATGCTTTTACTTTGCTTTGAAAGAATGAAGTTTGAACTAAACTGTTTTCTTTGGTTTTTGGAGAATATTGACGCCTTCAGTTGTCGGAAGAGTCATCTTCAGAACTGTCGGTTCGGAACTGAAGGTTTTCGTTGTTTATAAGTTTTTGAATTTAATCTGAAGGTTGATTCTACATATTAATTGAAAGAAAAATAATATTTTATGAAAAATCGAGTTTCTGAAAACGATCCCAGAATTGTTAAAATATTATTTTAAATTCCGATTTAATAATTATTGTTGTACTTACAGGAAATTGTATGCAATATTTGCTGATGAATTTTTTAAAGGCTTTTCATAGCGTACAAAACATGTTTAAAACAGGGCTTTTTAAATGTGAATGCGTCATTGAAAAAAATATATTTTAACCGGAACCTAACCCGTCTTTCAGCTTTCATGCTAAAACACATTATTTAGAAACCTTCAGCAGTTCATTTCGACTCGTGAAATTTTCCTGAAAAGTTTTCGAACTTCAGTTTTTCATTGGAAGCAGTCGAGTGTCGAGTTTCGTTTGTTTCATTAAGAATTGAGAGTAATTTTTCGCGGCTCCCGGCTTTCAGGAATTCAGGGGAAATTGTTTTCGTAGAAAGGTTGTTACGTACCTAAGTGATGGGTGTATTTCCGGGAAATTTGGGTGGTGTGTTAATACCAAGCTTTTATACTCAATGTAATTGATAATTATGTAACATTACTTAGGTGGAACTTAGCCAGATTTTGGTGTAATTACAATCATGACACGTAGGTACTATATCGATTCATTAGGTATTCTTTGATATAGTCAAAAGTCAAAGCCAAAGTTAAATTACTTATTTTGAATAGATTACTACATGTGCTTTAAAAAGTCAAAAAAAAAATATATTAAAATGTTTAACTTTGTGTGTCAGTCTGTCCTCTAGAGAAGCTATTTGCTCGTTCCAAAGTGTATTTTTTATGTGTGTCCCTAAACGAGCATATTTCTTGCTTAACAGAGCATTCCATGTTGTAATGTCTGTTTTTAATTATAAGTTACTGAATTAAACATTATAAACTTTATCAGATGGTTTAGATTCACAAATATAAACCATCTGATTGCTTGAATGATTTCGCAGAAATTTGTTACGTCGGGGTTTTCGGAGAGGGTCCGCTTGTATATTATAAACATAAATATTCAGACAGGTAATTTTAATATAAACAGCTAATAAGTTATTTTTATTTTTTTTCAGGTAAGTTCCTGTTTAAACTCCTTACTAACGTTCCTAGTGGATACTGCGAGGGTAAGTAGGTGTTGCAAATAAAATAATTTAATTTAAAAATAACTTTGTTCGACCAACATTCATACTGACATTGTATTAATTCGACGAGCTTTTATAAATTCCCCCCGACATCCCCAATTTTCGCCTGGGGATTAATACTCGTTCATTTTTATCCTCGTCCAGTTTTTTAACCGGCAGCAGTGACCCGGATAAAATATCGCTCTCGCCGGTACTAAAACGGTACTTTTAATTATTTTTTCGAAAGCCCTATAATGTTGAGGCGTTGTAATGGCTAATTTTGAGGACTTTTATAAGTGACGAAAATTTTATTAGATTTTTTTAAATGTTACACGTAAGTGTCTTGGTATTATGGTTACCGTAATGGTAAAAAATATGTAAATTTTATAAGGTTTTATTAAGTAAAATTTCTAAAATTTGGATTTAATTTATTTATCAATTAAATTTAACACTTACGACTAACTAAAACTAGAAGCACTGAATTAACGTAATTTATAAAAGTACTAAAGTTTAATCTTAAACATCTTAAACACATACTTCTTAACTATAATTTTACAACAGTTCACAAAATCCTACCTAATTTTTATTTATTTTAACAATAAAAATGACACAAATGTATGAACTGTTGCAAATTTAGCTTTTAAAATACACAATACAAGAATATATTTAGAAATAAAAGAATCTGCTATTTTTAACACATTTTTAATGTGTCGTGTCGTGGTCGTATCGTAAACGGTAAATAGAATTTTCGCCTATTAAATCTGCTAAATAATTTAAAGAATACACGGTATTAGCTCACGAATAATTTATATTTCCCTTTATTACAAAAATGGCCAATATTTTATTTTTAAAACATTTGCTATAAAAATATTACAAAAATACAAAATATTAAAGAAATAATTATTATCTTCAAACTTGCTGGCAATTTTTATGATATGTCCTTATTATTTTCTTTTAACGTATTAATTTAAATATTTTCTTTTTTAAAGTTCGACGTTTAAAAAATGACACCTGTCAAATGGCATTTTTGTCACAGATAATTAAAGTTCGATGAATTTGGTTTGGAACTTTGGATAGTTGAACTTTTCCTTTTTAAATAAATGTTGTTTTATGAAGTTATATCGGTTTAAGGGTTAGTGGCAACTGTTGCTTCTGAATATGAAAATTGTAAGTCCTCGTACTCTTCTTCTGGATAAAGCATTATAAATCTGAAACAATGTTAAGATCAATGAATTACAAACAAAAAAGATTGTAAGGATAAAATCTGATAGGCCATAAATGCTGCTGAGCTATCTAGCCTACTTATTCTAGTTGACTACTGACTCATAAGTTTTGTCTGTGTATTTATTTAGTAAAATACTATAACACCAAAACCTTCAAAGTTTCTTTAAAAATACTTAATTATTTTTGAACTTCTTTGTAAAAAAATACATGTTAATTAATCGTGAATGTAATTTTTACGAAAATGACAGCTGTTATAACGGTGTTTTAAAGATAACCTCAAAACTTCGCCCTTGTTATTTAATCTATCTGTGATTTTGATCGAGTCTTCTGCTAAACGTTATGTAGGTAGGCAGCTATTAGTAAAAGTTCAAGGCTAGTTTCATGGTACGGTTTCTGATGGAGCCTCGAATTCATAAAGGTTTAAATACTAACAAGGACAAACCGTTGAAAGCTGATTTAAAGGTAATGAAGAGAAAGATAAAGATAAAGAGAGATATATTTATTTGCTTAAAACATGTGTAGTTTACAGGAAATGCATCCTAAAACACTTTAATAAATAAATTTGAGTATCAACATGCTTGAAATTACAATTTATTATTATTAACTTTTTAAACTATTTTGTTTAGCAGGGATCTGTGCAATGAATTTTTAGTTGAAGAAGAAAGTGTGGTTTTTTAATATTTTTTTTTAATTAATTGCGGCTACTTTTGTTACTATTTGTCTACATAATCTTATTCTTGACTACTCGTAATAGGAGGCAAGGCCATATTTTTTCTTTAAAAACACCTTGCCTCAGGACTTTTTCCTGTGTCATCACTCCGTTTGCAAACATATATATTTTTCTTTTTTTTTATGTTAGGTAGGTATAGGACGGCAAACGTGTAGACGGATTACAATCAGCGCTGCCCATGGACACCCGCAACAACAGAGGAGTTACGAGTGCGTTGCGGACCTTTTGGGGTTAGGGATTTGGGAGAGGTTTGGGCAGGGGAAGGATTGGGCCTCCGGTAACCTCACTCACACGGCGAAACACAACGATCTGGTTGTTTCACGCCGGTTTTCTGTGAAGCCATGGCTCTCCCACACATAAAATTTACAAATTATTTTTTCTTTATTTCTTTCTTTTTTTCACAAATGGTTGTTCCTTGCGCGAATCGAACTTGCAACACATTGCAACGCAGCTGATTGCCGCCCTGTCTGACGAGATGCAGTCAATTGAGACACTATTTTTCATTTTGTGTCTTATTTAAAAACCGTTATTTACCTGTATAAAGGTAGATGGTCCATGAGGGTTCTTAGCTGGGAGGTGTACGGGAGTGCGAAGTACTCAGCAGCGTCCACGTGTTGTACTACCTCATACGCCCATTCGGACCACTCATACAATTTAGCTAAAAAAACAAAAAAAAATTCAGTCATATTAGCACCGAGTAACTCCTTTCTTGCTCGTTCTTCTCAATAGGAATCTACACTTTGGAACGAGCAAATAGCTTCACTACAGGACAGACGGACAGACTGACACGTAGGTATAAAGTTAAATCTTATGATATCTTTTTTGCTTGACTTTCAAAAGTGCCTGTTGACTACTTGAAATAAAAAAAAATAAACAAAAAAAACTCGCTATAAAAAAAATATATATAAAACATTGACATCATTAAAAAAAAGAACCCAAAATTATCATTGTATTAATGTGACTTTTTTGTTTCGTGTCTGGCAACTTTTATAGTACCTAACACGAAGCTTATAATAAAATTGGAATAATCAAAACAAGTTTTAAAATTACTTATCCTAAGCTAACAGAGCTGAGCGTGGAATTCAAAATACAATTTAACTGTGTACTTTAATAATCAATTTTTTGATAATGCTGGATTTTTAATAACGAATTTCGCGGCGAGCCATATTTTGTAGCGAACAGACTAAAATTGATACTACAATACCACGGAAAGCCCCCGTAAACGATGCTTCTTTCGGTTCCGAATACCAGCAACAAAGTCAAAATCAAATCATTTATTATAAACAAAAAAAATCAAACAGTTCCATTTTGTGTGTGTCAGTTTTCCAGTCAGTCATCACGTGAAGCTATTTGCTAGTTCTAAAGTGAAGATTCCTATGGAGAAGAACGAGCGAGAACCTCCTCCTTTTTCATGATGACGCACATTTTATAAGTTTTTTTTTTATAAAAACGTTGCGCCATACATGGATTTTCTCCTGTGTCGTAAGTGCGTTTACAAACATACAGCTTAACATACACATCACACCCAGACCCAGAAAAAAAAATTGGTTCCGTGTGAGATTTTACTCAAAAAATTTCGAACACGCGACACGTTGCGCCGCAGGCAATTGCCCAGCCACCGTGCCAACCATCTCGTAACTCGGGCGGCACTGATTGCTTACCATCAGGTAATCCGGCTTGTTTACTACCCAAAACCCATCATAATTACCTTCAACTTCGCTGTTGAGATGGAAGTGGCTCAGATCTGGAATGTCGAGGATCACATCCAGGTTCTCGTCTTCAAGCTGCAGGTATACCATGCCCTTCTTCTTCTTCAGTTTATATGGATATGTTATCCCTATGGTCGCTGGAACAAGAATTAGTTTTATTAAGAAAATGCACACTGCTGTTGAAAAGACACCATCAAAGTAGTACAGAGGTAATAATACCTTCATTATAAATTTTTTTTGCTATTAAAATTAAGTTATATGACAGTCAAACCTTGAAGAATAAGAAATGATTTTCAATAAAGTTTTTTGGTATGATAGGTCAGCTAACGAGCGGACGGATTGGACCTGATGGTAAGCAATCGGCGCCGCCCATGAACACTCACAACTCCAAAAGATATACTAGTCCTTTGCAGGCCTTTTGGGAATTAGGGTTTTTAGAGATTGAAGAGGAATGCGGTATGGATTGGGCCTCCGGTAACCTCACTCAGATGGCAAAACACAACGCTGTGGTTGTTTCACGCCGGTTTTGTGGGAGTCCGTGGTATCACTCCGGTCAACCCGACCTAATCGTGCCAAAGCATGGCTCTCCCACACTTGTAAAGTAATTTTCTTAAATACAATGAAATACAGTGTTTATACTGTGTTTTTATACTGTTGTCAAAACACATACAATCGTAATTAATTACACAAACGTTTGCTTAAAAAAACATTGAATATCCAATAATTTTAGCTCGATGACAGGAGGTAGTTGATTTTGTTAATTGAGACTTAATAAAATATTGACAATGGCGTTCCGAATGGAATAATTGTAGCTTCGTAAACAAATATGTTGGAGTTTTCAGTATATGTTTGTATGTTACGCAGTTGATTGCACTTTATTAGCTATAGTAAATATATTTGTTGCTATAGATTTTATTAATAGAGCGTTCATAAATAATGGTTTGTTTAGAGAGAGTTATTGTTTTATTAATATTTTGATCAGGTTTTCCGTTATAAACATGTTTTTTTTATAATATGAGTAAGCAATCGGCTCCGCGCATAAGCTTTTTTATTGTGAAGGGAAAATCGTCAAATTCCTCTCTCGCCTAGGGTATGGCGAGACTTGCTGACTAACCCCAATCCTTCCCCCTAATAGCGCTTGACCGGAGGACAACACATTAGGATTTTCTCCTGTGTCGTGGGTGCGGTTACAAATATACAATTTCACATACAGATGACACCCAGACCCGGAACAACAATCTGTGGATCACACAAAGAGTTGTTCCGTGCGGGAATCGAACCCGCGACACGTTGCACGGCAGCCAGTTGCCCAGCCACCGCACCAACCGTGCAGTCTGTGGTGGTCTATTGGCTTTTTAAGGCGCGCGGAACGCTACGCGCCGTACGCTCGGGTCTGGTTCTAGTCGGGCGGCGAGCTACCCTTACTCGCCGTCGCTCATACGGCCGGCGTACGAGATTGATAGGAGGGTATTGAAGGAAAAGATATGGTGCAGTTAACGCCTCTGGTAACCTCAAAACAGTGGTTGTTTCACGCTCAAGCATGGCTATTCCACGCTTGAATTAATTTATATTTCTTTCTGCTCTTTTTTATATTTAAAAAACGGATCGCCAATTGTGTTTGTAGGCGCATAACTCAACAACGCCTGGGTCAATTTTGCTAATTCTCTTTTTGTTTTGTTTGTTATTGTTAGGAGAAGGTTTTTATATAAAAAATAGAGTACTCGTATTGAAAAATAGAGGGTAAGATTAGGAAAAAAATACACTTTGATAGCAAGATAGTTGGGCCCCGTGCGAAGCGGGGGCGGGCCGCTAGTATAACATAAAATATGTATCCAAACAGTTCTAATCCTTAGAATCCTTAAAACATCAAGGATGTTACTTCGAAGGTCCTCAAACACGACGGTAGATCCGTCTTACATATCACGTCTTATATCAAGAGGTCCCCTTTACAAATTGGTTGAAGTACTGGCCCCAACAATGGGTGACTAAACAATACTCCTGGTCCTGGAGTGCTGCTCACATAGCCATGGTGAGTATTGAACGGTCCTGGAGGCCAATTATTGTGAGAGAAATGTACACGTGTAATTGAAGTGTTTGTACATATGTAGAATTACTTTTGTGTATGTAGTATAGTAACTAGGAAGGTATGTATTCCATTTTTTTTTTCCAACTTTCGTTAGTCGATTTAAAACTTTATCTATATTGAAGAATAGTTGACAATCCAATGAAGTAATTGAGGATTGGTGTAGGTTCTCCCGCTGGCTAGTGAAAGAGTATAACTATGCAATACATACCTAGGTATATTTGTATGTATTTATATAGTTAGACTTGGTCTGCATCGCTTATTTACTTGTAAAATGCAAATTCTTGTTTAAGATTGCATAGTTATAGGTATTTTATTTCTATTACACCATCAAATAAAAAGAAATTGTAAAAAATCTAATCATCTTTTAGATGTTTAGATTATTAAGTACTGGTACCCATATGGAAAATAGCCTTTATGGAATTCCAGACTGTAATCCAATTCTGTGCCAAAATTCATAATAATCCATTTAGTAGTTTTTGAGTAAAATTGTTACAGATATGTGGTGGAACTCTAATAGTTAAGTACACTCACTTACTCATACGGGAAGGTACGGGATCGAACTTATCAAATAACAATGTGACTTTTTCCGACTTTAATAATATGTATGATGTGGAAACCTGAATAAAAACTTTTATGTTTATGCTATGTAATGTAAAATAACTCACCATTGCCGGTGAACCTCATCAATGGACCTGAAAATAAATTTTAAATTAATACAAACTAAATTTTTGTATTACCGACAACACTTAACATTTTCGTTCTTACAACAAAAAGTTTTACTAAAAGATATTTAAAGTAACGGACAGAACTATTTAAAATATTGAAATTAACTACAAAATACATTCATTCAAAATAAATAAGAGCCACTATACACTTTTGTTTAAGATAAGTGATCCGGTGAACTCTGTATCGCCAAAAAATAACCAATGTCTTCTGACCTTTTAAACCGAATATTTCAAGACCAAAACTACCCAAATCGGTAGAGCCGTTCTCTAATTTTAGCCAAACTAAAGAACAGCTAATCTTTTATATTACCTATGTATATGCGATATAAATGAATCATTTATTTATAAATGAAACTCACTCTTCTGCGGTTGAACGATGTTGAATTCTGAAACAATAAATAAATATTTATTATTTATACTGAATATTTTGTATGTACATTAACAATATTGTTACATCTACGTACCTACTTAAAATAAATAACTGAAATCAGCTTGAAGACATAATACGGTTTGTTTATTTTCTCTTATTGTTTATTTAATACATAATGTAAAGTAAATAATAGAATTGGAATTAATATAGATGCTTCTTAGAATTTGTACTCATAAATAAATTATTGGCAATATTGCTACACTTTTCGTGGAATTTCTTTTCCCAGTCACAAGACGATTCTTATCTATTTTATTTATTTTATTTTTAAGAAAAAACAATACAATTTTTCTTTTATTAACTGAGTCGCTGTGAGGTACTGTGAAATGCACTTTTTTAGACTGATAAGTCGAAGTTGTTTTAATGGGATGGGTCGGCAAACGTGCACCGTCACCGTCAACGTCGTCACCTGATGGTAAGCAAAAACATCGGTAGCCACCACAACTTAAAGCAGGAGAAGGAACGGGGTTTTTTTAGTCAGTAAGAGTCTTTTTCCTTTACCGTGGGCGGGAGAAGTCATTTAATGATTTTCCCTGACAAACATTAACTGAGTCGCTGGGAGGTACTGTGAAATGCACTTTAAGACTGATAAGTCGAAGTTGTTTTAATGGGATGGGTCGGCAAACGTGCACCGTCACCTTCGTCACCTGATGGTAAGCAAAAACAATCGAAGTCGCCCATGGACAGTCGTAACACTAAAGAAGTCACGAGGTGAGCAGCCTGCCTTTTTGGGTATTAAGGATTTAATAGAAGATAGGTGATTTGGGGATTCTTGCTCGGTCTTCTCCATCGTAATCTACACTTTGGAACGAGCAAATATCTTAACTAAGAGGACTGACCGACAGACTGAAAACTTTATATCTTTAAAATTTTGTTTGACATTCAAAAGTGCCTTTATGTGTCTAATTGAAATAAATGACCTTGAGTTTGATTGAGGTTGGCTCAAGGACTAAAACCTAAGTATATTTTGACGCCGGTATTCTCCCAGATCGACTTCTATGGTCGGCAATAGGTTGACGATTAAGGACAAATAGGCTATTTCGCCAATGTCGAGCATAGCCGACCAGAATTCGTCATAATTAAGTATATTTGGTTTGTCGTTTATAATAGCTGACCATGGCGATCCAAAGGTTAATAAAAAGAGTTTCATTACCCAGTTTTAAGTGTACCCAATTAGGGATACTAACTTGAATGCCTCAACCATTTTTTTATGGTACTAGTCAGCAAACGAGCAGGCGGATTACCGTGATGGTAAGCAATTGGCGCCGCCCATGGACACCCGCAACACCAAAGGAGGTACGAGTGCGTTGCCGGCCTTTTGAGGATAGGGATTGCGGATATAGGGATCGAGAAGGGATCTCACTCACACGGCGAAACACAACGCTATGGTTGTTTCACGCCGGTATTCTGTGAGGCCGTGGTATCACTCCGGTCGAGCCGACCCATTCGTGCCGAAGCTTGGCTCACCCACACTTATTGGTCATTAGATAGCAAGTAAGCTTACTGACTCACCTCTATCAGGTCTGGCACATATTTTGATGGTATCCTTGACTTGTTGTATCCTCAGCGGCAGTTCTAGCACCAGAGTCAATTTCTTCTGTTCGCTATCAAACCTGAAAGTGATTTTGTAGACTTGAAAGGTCATTTTTCTTATTCACACAATGACAATCATCACACCATCATCAGCCTAAGTAAATGAGAGAATCTGCTGCAGAGCAAAGACCTCTCCTCACACGAAGAAAGCAAGTTAGCAATTTCAAACTTACGTGTAGAAATATGAAAGGTGGTCGGAGTTAATGCGCCCGCTTCTCATTGTTGAGTATGCGGGGACGAAACCTGGCAAGTATAAATGTGCCTCTTTCCGAGTTATACTACTTTCTGATGATTAATCAGACACAACTGTCATACTGTGAAGGAAAACATTTTGAGGAAACCTGGACTTGAGCAACCCTGATGATTTATGCTCAGACCTCTCTGTGAGAAGAGGCCTTTGGTCAGCAGTGGGAACTTATAGGCTGATGGTGTGTGTGATTAGAGATTATCGGTTCAGGTTTATCCAAGATTTTATCCTTCACCGTTTATCAGTGGTGCCTTATCTTAGAAAATACATACATAATTATTACAAATATTAAAAAGTGGGATTTGTATTTGGAAGATTTTAAACCTTAAAGTTTAAAATTAAAGTTCAAGACACCCACTTCTCATGCATAACATGAGAAGTGGGTGTCTTGAACTCCGGCCCACCACGACGTCAACAGATAATGACGATAGCTACATAGTTCTACATTTCACTAACTTCATCATCATCATCAGCCTATAAGTGCCCACTGCTGAGCCAAGGCCTCTTCTCATACGGAAAAGGTTAGAGCATTAATCACCACGTTTGCTCAATGCGGGTTGGCGATTTATTAGAATAATTATAAGTCCAGGTTTCCTCACGATGTTTACCTTCACCGTATATCAGTGGTGTCTAAATAATCATAGAAAGTACATATATCTTGGAAAAAGTCACATTGGTACTTGCCAGGTTTCGAACCTACACCCTCATGCATGAGAAGCGGGCTTCTTAACCTCCGGGCCACCAGTTTCACTTACTTAATGGCCGCCAATTCACTTTCTTCCAGCCCCGTCAGCTTGACGCAGGTGCCTCCTCCGTAGGCAAAGACGTAGTGCTCATAAGTGGGAATGCCCAGCCTGTCGTTGCCCAGCAGCACATTATCTCTGAGCGCCTTGTACTGCCGCTTGAAGCACTCGAAGTCCGTTGTGTGACAGGATATTATATACCGGTCTGGAATTAAAAGGTTTCTTATATCAAGTAACGATCATATAGTTATTATGTTTTAGTTGTAAATATTTTAGTTTTTAGTACAGTTTTTTTTTTGTGAGGGGAAAATCATCAAATTACTTCTCGAGGGAGTGTCAGACTCTTACTGACTAAAAACCCCCCTGTTCCTTCTCCTGCTCTGTGCCGAGGTCAAGTTTTTAGTACAGTAAGCCTACCATGACGTGTATCGTGAATCGTCCAGGCGAGAAAGAGGGATGGAGCTATAATAGTTGTATAGTTCCATCCCTTTTTTTCGTTTGAAAGATTTACGCTTTAAAACGTCATGGTTGGCCCTCAGACCTACTTCTGATGAACTGATAGGTACAAAATTAAAGATCATTTGGGGTCAAATGGTATTTAAGTCTCGCAAAGTTCTAGCAGGTGAAAGGAAGGAGCAGTAAACAGTATTTTCACCAACCGCCTTTGTCAAAAATAGACTATCCAACTCAAAAGCAATTGTTAAATCCGAACCAGCAGTTTCAGAGATAAGCATGTTCAAACAATCAAAATCTTTATCTTTAGTCTTTTATGCAATGGGTGGTAACACAATAATGTAACTTGGGACTGAGAGAGCAGGAGAAGGTACGGGTTGGTGTTTAGTCAGTAAGAGTCTGACTCAACCTCTCACCACACACAAGGCGAAAAAAAATTGATTTTGATCCGTTCAGTAGTTTTTACGTGAACCAAAATCAACATCAATAGCCTATATTTTAAGTGCCCACTGCTGAGCAAAGGCCTTCAAACTTATAATTAGAAATTATAAGTCCAGGTTTCCTCACGATGTTTACCTTCACCGTATGTCAGTGGTGTCTTAATAATCATAGAAAGTACATATAACTCGGAAAAAGTCACATTGGTACTTCCCAGGTTTTGGACCCAAACCCTCATGGATGAGAAGCGGGCTCCTTAACCTCCGGGTCACCACGATTTTTTTTTATCTGAAAGATTACCTACAAATATCCCCTTGTACTTACAAACTTTCACATATATATATAATATTAATACGATAATATGTAGGTAGTACTTATATATTATTAAGACGTCCTCCAATGTTTCTAGATGAGGGATAAACTCTTAATAATACCCAACGTATGTCTAATAATATCTGTAGAGTTGACAAACGACTTTAGTAATAGAGTAAGTTTATTTTTGGATATCATGAACTAAAATTAACTTGTCTAGACGGTAGGGACAATAGAAGAGGGAGGAGGGGAGGTTTTATCTTAACGGCTGTATCTAATACTTGTTTTTATTTATTTGTTCTTTATTGTATATCTACATATAGTTTTACATACAATAACTTTGATAATAAAGTAAAATTATCTAAGTATACTAATATTATAAAAAGGTAAAATTTGTGAGTTTGTAATTTTGTATGGTTGTATGTAGGCGGTAATCTTTGGAACCGCAGGTCGGATTGCCAAAATTCTTTCACTGATAGATAGCTACAATGTTCCTGAGTGCTATATAAATGGAGCTGAGCAGCGGGTGAAACCGCGCGAGAGTATATAATTGTTACGATGGGCGGTTAAAACGCATTTTGAGATCTCTTCCTGACAACATTTAGAAGGACAGAAATTGTCAGCACTGCTTGGAGAGTCCCAGGTAATATAGTACATTATGCTAAAAGTGTGTAAAGTTGGTGATTACCGCAGAGGCGCATTGATTTCATTTGATTCTTAAGGAGAGAAAATTTAAATCACAATATAAATACTATATTTAAATTTAAGAGTAGCAATTACTATATTAATAACAGTTATCATAACAAAAAAGGTCGAATACATTACCAATAAAAACCAATTTTCCGCGACGAAAAAAAAAACAAATTCTTTCTTTAAAACGAAAATTTGACAAAACGAAATACACACACACAGACAAAGAAAGCTATCTACAAGAAATGAAAGTCGGCAATAACGATGAAAGTATTAAAAAAATGCCAACATTACATCGCTGTATAAGTACACAAGGTGTCCCAAAAGGAGTCGTGCCACGAATAATTTTGAATAGAAGGTCAAATTTACTTCTCGATTATAACTTCTTGATTGGTTTTATGTTTGTAATGATTTTTTATTGTGTAATTTATTTAAATGTATAATATGGTAGATGACTGTTCAAAGTAAGATTTTTTTTTAAATTTAAACGATTTTTTAAATCATACAGGAAAAAATTAAGTGCCCTCTGCACTGCTGCTGTATCGTGGGTGCATTTACAAGCATGCAATTTCACTCGCACAACCAGACCCAGAACAACAATTTGTGGATCACACAAAGAGTTTTTCATTGCGAAAATCAAACCCGTGACACGTTGCGCGGAAACCAGTTGCCCAGCCACCGCGTCAACCGTGCGATCGAAACTAAAATTCATAACTGTTATGAATTATTATAATAAAACTTTGCCTGACATAAGCCCAAATGGTTATACATACTATAACTACCCTGAAAGATATAACAATCTATTTAGACTAACATATAATAACAATAAAATAACTATAAATAATAAGGTGTCAAATGATCGCTTAGGCACAACAAACAATCTATTGAGTTATCGGATTGCTAACACCCTGTATATCTTGTATACATATTGTAACCCCCTGTAGGTAGAGGGGGAGGGGGGAGGTACCTTTGTATCGCTATGCTGTTGCGTCTCTTATTTGTTATAGGAAACGGATGATTATTTTTATACTAATGCCGTATTTGTATTTTCTTAACAAAAGTAGGTTTCGTTGTGTGGAGGATATTTAGAGGGTATATAGAAGAGATATCTAAAGAGACAGGGTAGGGATCACTATCCAAGTCCAGACATACTTTTGGGTTCGACTGATTTGTTGGTAGCAAGTAGTTGAGCAATCGGCTGTTCTGTACCGGGCGCAAAAAGCTTCTGAGTCATCCACAAATAAATTAACATGGTTAAGAAGAATACATAAGAAAGAAAATAATATAATTGTCAGTGTCATTACTGTGAATAAAGCAGAGGAGGTTTAAATAAAGTGTATTTTGTAATTCAGTGAAAAAGGAATCGACAAACCAGTTAATAAACTTTAAATGTCGTTTCTTTGATATTTCAGGTAGGATTTTGTTTAAGTATTATTTTGTATTTATAGTTAAAATTTAAATATTATACTTAATAAAAAAAAATGATATTTCAGAGCAACACAGCCCGTTTATTATTTTGGTTTATAAGAGATTCCAACGAATTGTCTTATATGTATAAAATAAATTCAGTTAAATACTTCTTCAATCAAATTTTCATCAGGTAGGTAACTGTATGGATTTAGAGAAGAAAATAAAGTAGCACTTTCACTTTACATGAAGTTAAATAAAATATGCAAAAAAATTGTTGATAAAACCGCGTAATTTTCTTTGTCGTTTTTTTTCACGCTAAATGACGTAACATAAATCATTCACTAGAAGCGAGTTGATCATTATAACAAACAAACAGAACGAAATCAATTTAATATATATGTATACTAAAATATCGATTTGCATACACTTCCTCATTTCTTAAACAAAATCGTCTTCGTGACTTAGGTACTTGATACGCGCTTCGGGTGCGCAAGTAGTGGGTATGCTCGCATGCGTAGCGACAGCGTCAACATTGACCGAGGTAAGTGATATGCTTGTACACTACTTACATTGTGTAGGTATATTTTGTCGGTACTGCAAACACATTTCGATATTGTTCTTTGTTTACCTACATACAAGATTTTTGTTTTTTAAGGGTGAGTTGCACCATTTAACTTTAACCAAACCATAACCATAGGAAGCCATGAAACGGCCTCCTATTGGTCAGTTCGACGATTTGACAGCTGATAACGGCTATGTTATCGTTAAAGTTAAATGGTGCAACTCACCCTAAGTGTTTTGTGTAGGCGTAGGTTTCATGTTGTCGACAATTGACGCAGGTGGCTTACCAGACACGTTTCGGTAGGCACCGCGCAAGAAGAAACGACTGGGTCATTGTGAATAACACCCGGAGGTGATAGTTAGTTCGGTGGGCCATACGGTGGCACGGCGGTGATCGCTGTCCTCAGGAAAGTGGTCGGTAGCGGTAACTTCTTGCGATTGGCCTTGGTCGAGGCTATGGTGCGAAGCGAGGGGAACTGGGAAGCCGTTTCCTCTTTCTGCAAAGCTGTCATGCTCGCAAAGAAGGTGGTAGCGTCCGAAAACTGTCCTCTTCCGCCCCAGCCATCGCAGTTAGATATAATTCGGGCATAGGGGTGTCCGACGATCTCCGGCCACCGGATGCCCAAAAAAATAGATCAAGTTGTCATAAGTGCCACATCTATTGGTCTATTGTTGGCATCAGGAATCAAACAAGGAATAATTTTAGAGTTATTATAGACAATTTTGTCTCAGGTATACCATAGTAGTACTTTACTCGTCTGCTTGCGACCACGACCTGTGCAACCAGGTAGAAACGTCAAGCCTACCAAGGTATTCAAATAATTATTTTTCGCGTTAATACCCGCGTAACTGTGTGTTGGAAATATGAAACGCGGAAGTTTAAAAGTTACTTAAGTCATGTCAGAATCGCACTTAGAAAGTCACCATAAACACTTATGACCAACAGATCTTTCATAATTTCTACCATAAATATCCGTGAAAAATGCATTAACCCATAACTAAAATAACATCAACGATCATCAAAAATGCTGAGTAAGTATCAAAATCATTAAGCTGAAAATTAAGCGGAAAATACTCCATTAAACCGAACGAACCCTCAACGCGGCGCAGGGCGAAAAAAGAATTAGAATTTACAAAACGGGTCAGAGTGACACGCCGCGATAATAACCTATTTAAAAAGGGAAAAACAATCGCCAAGCGAATTGAATGAACGAATATAAAAGGGTGTTTTGTTGGTATAAAACACCTCGGCCTCATAAATATTTATCGTGGAATTTTTGATATTGGACTAAACTTCGTTTATCATTTTTCCCCACCCTCCCCAGAGAGGGGCAGATTTGATAATCTGCTCAGTAAGTACAGCAACATCACGCTTTTTATGTTTTAAAGGGATGTTCATTTACTGTTGTAGTTATGTGTTAGCAATTCGTCAACATTTGGAAATGCAACCATTACGTAAAAAACTATGAAAAAAGTGTAAAGGGCTTTCTTAATTTTTGGCAACTTTTTACCACATACCAAACTGATTTCAAGGTTATTCTTAAGAATTAATTAAAACAAAAATATCGAATCGACGTCGTTTTAATTGCTACAGCTACCTGATACTGCAAGCGGCTTCGTCCCCAGTCCGCTGTGAGTAGCCTATGTATTGTCCAGACTATAATTATTTATCTTTATACTAAACTAGCGGCCCGCCCCTGCTTCGCACGGGTCCAACCATCTCGCTATCAAAAGGTCACTTTTTCCCAATTTTCCCCTCTACTTTTCTAATATTTTCTTTGGTAAGAACCTTCTGCTGACAATAACAAACACAACAAAAAAAGAATTAGCAAAATTCCAGGCGTTGTTGAGTTATGCGCTTACCAACACATTTTGCGATCCATTTTTATATATATAGATATCATCCAAATCCATTCTGTAGTTTTTACGTGAAAGAGCTATAGACATTCATCCGCAGATATTTACAATAATAGAAATAAAACTTTCACACATCTACAAAAGACATAATTTCGTTGGACATTTCCCCTCTAAAGGGGAAGGCTACTAATATATGCTGGGATCCCACTTACCTGCGCACTTAAGCTCAGATTAATTTAATTCCCTTACCTGTTTTGAAGATTTTAATGTAAAATGTTTTCGTCCCAAATTAAAAGTTAAAACTTCGTTTTCAAAAAGGGAATTTTATAGAATTAAAAATGGAGGGTCTTTTTTAAATGTGTTACAAGTTTTAATCAAAATTGTTTTATTTTAATGTATTAACATGACTGTGTATGAAAAGAATATACACATTGAAGACTCGATACAGACGCTAGTTGATATCATGTAAAAAATCTTTTTTTTTATCAGAAACTTCTGATGATTTTAATTTATTATTAAAAAGAAATATAAATATTTTTTTTATTTTTTATAATATCACAATTAACATTAAGTAAATAGTTAAACACAATGTCTGATAAAACAATAGAAACAGATAAATTCGAAAATATTCTACTCCCTAAATAAAATTTATTCGAAATGCCAGAAGGCTGTCTGGCTCAAAAGTTTTTAATTGGTTTTGCTATCGTTCATAGTTTATTCAAATACGAAATCCAATGATAGAAACATCCTATCATTAGCACTTTAATAGTATTCTAAAATATTTTATATTGCTTAGTCTATACTAATATTATAAAGAGGTAAAATTTGTAAGTTTGTATGTAGGGGGTAATCTTTGGAACCACTGGTCGGATTCCAAAAAATCTTTCACTTATTGATAGCTACAATGTTTCTTAGTGCTGTAGGCTACAAAACATCACGCTACAATCAAATGGAGCCGAGCAGCGGGTGAAACGCAGAAGTAGCTAGTCAAAAATAAAATATTTTAAATATATAAAATGTGTTTCAGCATGTGCGTGAGGTTACCGGAGGCCCAATCCTTCCATTCCCCATTCCCTAAATCTCCAAAACCCTGATCCACAAAAGGTCGGCAACGTAGTCGTAACTCCCCCGTTGTTGTGGGTTTTTGTTTAAAGAATCTTGAAGGAATCATCACGTAATAATTGCGTTATTTATCATTGTCTGTTGATTATAATTCGATTGTTTTCATAAAACTTCGGGTTTAGTCAACATCTTCGCGAGTGAAATCAAATTACGTGAACATCCTGTCTTGTTAACGTTGTTTTATTTAATACTAGCCCTTGTGCTCGTTTTTTGAGAAAAGTTTTTTTTTGTTGTGGATAGAAAATCATTGATTACTTTTTTCACACAGGGTGGAGCGAGAGAAAGTGACAGACTCTTAGTGACTAATATTGCGCTTGACCCGAAACCTGGGCTGAACATCAACCCTGTTAGATCTTAATCTGTAGGTGGTTTATTGGCTCTTTGAGGTGCGCGCTGAACGCTACGCACCTTTCGCTCGGGTCTGATTCTGGTCGGACGGCGAGCTACTCTACCCCGTCTCGCCGTCCGGAGACCAGCGATTACGGTGTACTGAGATTGGAGTGTTTAATTATATTGAGATAAGCTAGTCTTACGAAATAATACGGCTAGAGATACAAAAATACTTAGTCATCTATCTTTACTACATTGTAACTGAAGAGCTCGTTTGTAACATCACGCTAAGATCTGTAGGAGCCAAGCAGCGGGTGAAATCGCACGAGAATAGCTAGTATATACTTAATATTATAAAGAGATAAAATTTGTAAGTTTGTAGGGGGTAATCTTTGGAACCGCTGATCGGATTGCCAAAATTCTTTCACTCATAGATAGCTACAATGTTCCTAAGTGCTATAGGCTATAAAACATCACGCTAAGATCTGTATGAGCCGAGGAGCGGGTGAAATCGCGCGAGAATAGCTAGTGTATGATATTATTAAGTTTCGAAAAAAATAATTAATAATTTATCATTACCGTATTTACCCATTAAACAATAATACTAAAGTACCACTACGAAACATACAAATATGGCTGGAGATAGGAATAGGGAACTATAAATTACTTTAGGGATCGTCCTATGTCATCCCGGATCTAATTACGACACTATCGACCTCTGTGAGAGACAATATAACATTAAATGTTTCTCTTATGTAAATATATAAACAGATTAATGCTAAAATATTGCATGTCTCAATTAGGCACTTGACTACTAGTCAAATACAATGATTATTTTGTATTCTTTTATTGACACCGCTATCAATTTGAAATCGCCAATCCACCTTTTTTTTATGTAATAAGTCGGCAAACGAGCAGACGGATTACCTGATAGTAAGCAATCAACGCCGCCCATGGACACCCGCAACCGAGGAGTTACGAGTGCGTTGCCGACCTTTTAGGGATTAGGGATTTGGAGATTTAGGGATTGGGGAAGGGTCCGGGAAGGGGAAGGATTGGGCCTCCGGTAACCTCACTCACACGGCCAGCCACCACCACCTTGAGCAAGCTTGCTGATTAGTGCTCAATCCGTCGTCTTGTAAGAAAAGGCCTTTGCTCAGCAGTGGGTACTTAAAAGTTGATGATGTTATTATATTCATTTCTAGTCAAGTTAAACCTTTAGAAAATTAAAGGTGACTATTAAATGCACTCCAATTAATCATTGAATTGATTAAAGTAAAATGAGTGTTACTCGAATGCTATATTTTATAAAAATATAAATAGATGAAAAATCTTCAATTACCATATTTAACTGAAGCGTAATAAACAGCGATCTGGTGTTAACGAAACCAATTATATAACATAGATATAATTGAAAGCTATAATTAACTAATTATATTATTATTAAAGCAAGATTTAAAAAAAAACTTACCTAATTTATCAAAATAGACCTTACAAACGCAATGTCCAAATAGCAAAGACAGGATGCACCACACGCGCATACTGCTCCAGTTGAATATATTAAATAACATTATTATCAAAAATACAATAAAACACGTAACGTTAACGTACACGTAAACGTACTGAACCGGCCTGCGCGTGCGACTGGTAACACGCGAATATTTTTAAAAATCTACAAACGACCGCTGTTATTGCGGACTTGGGACAATTTTCGAGCGGACTAGTTGATACTTTTTTTCTTGAACAATGTGTGTTCGGCATTATTCGTTTGTTATTTTTTATGTCACAAAACTACGAGTTAAGAGTTACTGAGTTTTTTATTAAGCGTAGCTGAAGAACTACCTGATGGGAAACAATCAGCGCTACATATGGAGGCGTCCAATACCAGGAGTTACAAGTAAAAAGAAGTATGCTTCTTAGAGGCTTATTTCTATTTTTTCAAGTAAAAATGTCGTATTAACCATCGAATATCGTTTATGTTAATAATAGTTGGTTATAATATGTATAAAATTTGATTTAGGGCTGATTTTTCAATAAAAATAAAAAAAAGATAAATGAGGAGATGATATAGAACAAAATTATTGCTGTCACTGTCTTATACAAACATTCTGACGAGACAGTATCATAATTATTCCCCAGTAACTTTTATTTAATTATTGAAAAATCAGCCCTAATTATAAAAAATAACACAGAACATTTGCCAGCCCAAAACTAAGTGAGTTGAATATTTGATCTGAGCTGAAAAAAAACTGTTCCAATTCATATTTATAAGCTTTTAATTACAGTAATAATGGAATCTGGCTAATAATAAGCTTAACAAACAAGTACAGGGAAGGAAAATGTATAAACATTAATTAAACAGGTATTTTAGGTACTATATGCAATTAATACAAGCTGGATGCAGTTGATAATATCTTTGAGTGAACTTCATGATAAATAAGTTATATTTGAATTATATTTTAAACCTAAATCGTAGAACGTTTATAAGTTTAATAATATCGTAAATAATTCTGTTCTTTTACAAATGTCAGTCTCATTAATAGATCATTTTTTCGTTTGAAATAAAATTGTTCCTTCTTTGTATTTCACCCGCAAATTGTCCATATTATTCCCCCTTTGAAACCTACTCTGGACTTTCACAAATATTTCGAGATTAGAATTAACTAAATCGGCTCAGCCGTTTCAGAGGTTTAGCGAGACTAACCAACTACTAATTTATACATACCTTACTAATAGCCACGTCTCTAAAAATGTAACATAGCGAATATTCTTTCTTCTTTTATTTTTTCTTTCTTAAGCACGTAACGTCTGCAGACCGATGAACATAGATCTAAATCAATGATTCTCAAATCAGCAGGTAATTTTTTATCCATAGAACGAAAAGAAATGCTTTAGTATTTTCAACTCTTAAAAAAATCTATAATAAATTTGTTCGCATGGAACAACTCTTAGTGTGATCCACAAATTGTTGTTCCGGGTCTGGGTGTCATGTGCATGTGAAATTGTATGTTTGTAACCGCCCCCACGACACAGAAGAAAATCCTAGTGTGGAGCAACGTTAAAAAAATATCTTCTATGAAAGATTATCACTCCCCCCTCATCATATAGATGGTTGGTAGCCAACAACTGTGAGATTTGCGAAACTTTCTAACTCGCACACCAAAAGTTTGGAATCGTGGACGATTGTCTGGCGGCGCTATTCTCGAACAGATTCGACCTTCAAACCTTCAAGAAACTCCTCCTAAAAAGACCGGCACTGCGCCTGTGACTTCTCTGGTGTTGCAGGTGTCAATGGGTGCACCGATCGCTTACCATCAGGTGATCCGTACGCACGTTTGCCTCCGTATCCATGAAAAAAATGAAAGCCTACTCCTGGAAATGAGGAATTTTACTTATGTCTTGGCCGTCATGTTAGGGTCTGTTCTAGGAGATCAATACTCTATCATAGTTATTATACTCATACAGCTGTCCCTTTTACTACATAGACACATAAGGTCACTACAGTCACAAACTTCAAAATGGTTTCTTGTAAATTGTTCTTGAAAATATAAAGGTCATTCCACATGTAAAGAAGTCTGAACGAACCGATTTATGTTGAATGAACTTACTCTAAGTTGTTTATTTATGTCTCATTGCAACTACTAAATACAAAGTTTTTGTCAGTGAAATTGATAATAGTATTAGGCCTACGCCTCCATGAAGGAATGGTAAGTTATTCCACGGGAAAATATCCTAGTAATATTATAAATGTATTTGGAAGTATGTTTGGTTTCTCAAAAACGGTCGAACCGATTTGGTTGAATTTTGGTATGTAGACAGATGATACCCTGGAGGCGAAGAGGAAGCTAGTCGGGCAATATTTTAAACGTATTAGAATACAATAAATTATTCTCATTTTATGCTTGTTGACGTATTTTCTGGAACTAAACCATTTTTTCTACTTGTTAGCCTAATCTGACGAAGGTTGAAAGCTATGCGTCATCACGTCAACCACATATGAAGGGACCACGAAAATATGGATCTGTCTGCGGTGTACACAAACCCTAACACCAACTATTAACTGACTAAGCAGGCAAGATGGGTTCTGAGATAATGTCAGTGTAAATTCCCCGCATAATATATGTAAATAGGGATCCCTCGCGTAATTTTGTGACATAAGGGACACGGACCGCATTCGAAGGGTTCCCGACGAACTCGAAGGAATTCCCAAATTCTGACAGCTTAACGATTAACTAAGATGGCGGATAAAAAGGGACTTAATTGCTGTGCTTGGATACAATTTTGAGGGTTTGTGTGAAGTTTGAAAAGGGAATCAAAGTTGAAAGACTTTTTTGTTAAATTTTGGTTTCGTTATAAATGGTTTGTAAAGGTCCTACCTCTAGGAAAAGCCTTTGTACTACTGCCTTTGTTCGTATGCTGTGGTTGTTTTTTAAAGGTTAAATTTCTCCTTAGTTGGCAACATTGACGCTAATTGGCACTAAGATTGTTTCAACTTCAACAGAATTTTAGTTAAGTTCTGTTAGAGAAAGTAATCTTTCTTTAGGCCTAATTCTTTTGTTATGTTGAATCCCTTTTCAGCCTTTTAAACTTCAATATATTAACGTTTGATGATTTTTCTTTAGAATTAAATGACTTGTAAAATGTCTACCTACCACACCGACAACATATTTTTTCCTCCCGTGGTTTTGAAAAGGAAAACATCAAGAGGACACCTGGACTTATAATTTCTAATTTTAAGTTTGAAATTGCCAATCCGCGTTGAGCAAGCGATGTGATTAATGCTCAAACCTTCTCCATGTGAGAAGAGGCCTTTTCTCACCAGTGGGCAGTTATAGGCTGGTGATGATTTTTTTATCTGATAGGTCAGCAAACGAGGAGGCTGATTACGGCAACAACAGAGGAGTTACGAGTGCATTTCCGACCTTTTGGGTATTAGGTATTTGGATATTAAGGGTTTGGGGGAGTCTCCGGTAACTTTACTCACACGGCGAAACACAACGCTGTGGTTGTTTCACACCAGTTTTCTGTGAAGGCGTGGTATGACTGCGGTCGAGTCGACCCATTCGTGCCGAAGCTTGACTCTCCCACACTTAGAGATTATGAAGATTTGTCTTGTTCGTATTCTGTAGTTTTAATATTGCACTTTTTTGCCTAAGTCCACATTCACGGTGATTCCGAAATAGTATTGTGCATAGCAAAAAGACAATAGCCTTTTCATTATTTCTTGTTGTTGTTGAGAGCTAACGAATCCAGGTTCTAAGCGCCCGGCTTACACAAACAATGATATCATACAATTCATAGGTACTGCTGTTTTTTAAGAAAACTCAGTCCTATTAGAATCACTTCATCTTTTTGGTGACAAATCATTCGACGGTTGAGTTTCAAATAAATCTTATATAAAATGCAGAATGATGAAATCAGAAGAAAAATCTGAAATTAACATTTTAAAATAGGTAACATTTCAAATTATGCATTGTTTAATTGAAATACACGTATTTATTAGTGGCTGTTCGGAATGTGTAATTATCATGATTGGGCCACTGGCTGCTTTGCAACATGTCTCGGGTTTGATTCCCGCACTGAACGACACTTTCTGTGATATAAAAAATGGTGTTTCGGGTCTAAGTGGCTTGTGGATTCGGATTTGTTTGTTTGTAAAAGAACCTACGACACAGGAGGAAATCCTAATGTAAGGGCAACGCTTTTTTTATTATATGATATTGGTTGTGGTTGTTTCACACCGGTTTTCTGTGAGGCCGTGGTATCACTCCGGTCGAGCCGACGCATTCGTGCCGAAGCATGACTCTCCCACATTTATCTCATTATTTTAACTATTTCATATTATCTCCCTAGATTTTCCATAGTCATGTTAAAACTACTCTTTAAATACGTATTTTCATATGCCTAGCCTCTTCTGCATAGCCCTCTGTGAACCTAAGACCTATTTTAGATAATCCAAATAATTTCGTCTTTATTATAAACCTAGTAAAGTATATATTCATATTTGTTCTTCTTAGCACAATATTTAGTTTATCTCAGCCGACATAGAGTTTAGTTTCTCGCATCATTAAATGAGCTATGAACGTAATGTTTTTCATATCCTGCCTATAGGGTACTCGCCTAGCAATGGCATGTAGATTGATGTAATTAAATTATAATGTCCATAGTATTAGAACTAATTATTATTAATATTCTGGGATAATATTTTAATACTTAAGTACTTCTTACTTTTGGAAAAATAATCTTTATCATTATTGGCTGCAATTCAAATAAAAAAGAAGAACGAATCTGAATTTTGAATGACATTGGACAAGATGGCGGAGTTTCGAAGTTTTAGTGGGTTGTGACATTCTGGGTTTTTTTTTTCTTTTTAGTGAGGGAAAAATCATCAAATGACTTCCCCCGCCCAGGGTCGGGCGGGAGGGAGTGCCAGAGTCTTATTGACTAAAAACCCCCCGTTCATTCTACTGCTCTCGTCCGAGGTCGCGGTGCCTCATTGCGCTTACCCCGCAACCCCACTTGAACTTCAGCCCTATAGGGTCCCGTCTGTGGTGGTCTATTGGTTCTTTAAGGCGCGGTCGGAACGCTACGCGTCGTACGCTCGGGTCTGGTTCTGGTTGGGCTGCCAGCTACACTTAATCGCCGTCCG